GATTATAGGGCACTGCCTCCAAATTAATCTTTTCTGAAACAATTTCAATTCACTATCCTACTTAAATACTTTTCAAATGCTTATTACACTGATTTGCAAATCCCCATTCCAATCAAGATGCGCAGTTAAAATGCAGATCAGAAGAGCCTGTCCACAGAGATTGTAATTCACTCAGTCTGGTGTGATGATTAGGAATCTGGGTTTTAATAAGCTTTTAGGTGATTTTGATTCAGGTGGCCTGCAGAACATATTTTTTAAAAAGAAAAGAAACAGGTCTACAGAGTGAATGTCACATTTCTTAGCCTGGCATCAAAACTCTGCACACAAAAGGCCCCTGAATAACCACTACAGGGCAAGGGCTCTTCCTTCCAGATAAACCCGATTTACTGCTGCTCACACAAACCAAAGGTTTACTCCTTCAGCCTTACTTAAAAATGCCCATAAGGTTGGGTGCGGTGGCTGACATCTGTAATCCCAGCACTTTGGGAGGCTGAGCCAGGTGGATCACGAGGTCAAGAGACCATCCTGGCCAACATGGTAAAACCCCATCTCTACTAAAAATAGAAAAATTAGCTGGGCATGGTGGCGCACACCTGAGACTGAGGCTGGATGATCACTTGAACCTGGGAGGTGGAGGCTGCAGTGGGTTGAAATCTCACCACTGCATTCCAGCCTGGGAGATAAACCAAGACTCCATTTCAAAAAAAAAAAAAAAAAAAAGGGTTTTTCAGGCCAAGAGCCACAGTGGCTCAACCCTGTAATCCCTGCACTTTGGGAGATCAAGGACAGCTTGAGCCTAGGAGTACAAGACCTGACTGGGCAAACAGAGCAAGACCCTATCCCTGCAAAAACTTTAAAAACTAGCTAGACATGACGGTGAAGACCTGTAGTTCTAGCTTATCAGGAGACTGAGGTGAAGAAGTGCATGAATCCAGGAATTTAAGGCTGCAGTGAGCTACGATGGCACAGCAAGCAACATAGCAAGATCCTGTCTCAATAAAAAGTTTTTTCAAACCACTTAAAAATAAGCCCACACGGCCGGGCGCGGTGGCTTAAGCCTGTAATCCCAGCACTTTGGGAGGCTGAGGCGGGTGGGTCACAAGGTTGAGAGATCGAGACCATCCTGGTCAACATGGTGAAACTCTGTCTCTACTAAAAATACAAAAAATTAGCTGGGCGTGGTGGCACGTGCCTGCAATCCCAGCTAGTCCGGAGGCTGAGGCAGGAGAATTGCTTGAACCCAGGAGGCAGAGGTTGCCGTAAGCCGAGATCACGCCATTGCACTCCAGCTTGGGTAACGAGCGAAACTCCCTCTCAAAAAAAAAAAACAAAATAAGCCCACACATAATACAAATTTAGAGAAACAAACTTTAAGGAGATAAAGGAAAACTGCAGCAAAAAGTTAAAGCAATGCACCTACGCAGTATAAAAGCCAAATTTCAACCTAATTGCAAAGTTTGAAGGGCTTTTCCCTCCCTCACCTCTTCCTCTGAGGCTGTCAAAAGCACCTACACGTAAATGATTGGACAGGAAGAGTGACGCAGAAAAAATAGAAAAATGTAAAATAAAAAATAATGTCTTCCCTAAGAATTTTATTATATATATAAGGATAATCAGACTGTTAGAAAAACTGCACTGAAAGGAGTTAAAAATACCTTATGACTGGAACAAAGGGTTACCAAAGGTTTAGAGGACAAAGATAATTTTTTTTTTTTAGATGGAGTTTCACTGCACTCCAGAGTGAAACTCCACTCATGGCAACCTCTGCCTCCCAGGTTCAAGCAATTCTCCTGCCTCAGGAGATCTTGAGATCTGCCTCAGCCTCTGGAGTACCAGGGAATACAGGCACCGGCCATGACATCCAGCTAAAATTTTTGTATACACCCAGCTAATTTTTTTATTTTTAGTAGAGACGAGGTTTCACTATGTTGACCAGGCTGGTCTCCAACTACTCATCTCAAACGATCAGCCCATTTTGGCCTCTCAAAGTGCTGTGATTACAGGCCCCCGGCCAGAGGTAGCTTTTTGCTGCAGTTAGCAAGGAAGATTTCACCAAGGAAGCAGGGAGTTGTTAGGCCTTCACCCGGAAGAAAAAAAAAAAAAAAAAGGAGTGTATTTTAGGCAGAAGAAACTTAAGAAAACAAAGATTTTTTAAAAAAAGAAAAAGCCAGGCGCAGTGGCTCACGCCTGTAATCCTAACACTTTGGGAGGCCAAGGTGGGTGCATCACCTGAGGACAGGAGTTCAAGACCAGCCTGGCCATCAAGAAGATGCCCCATCTTAAAAAAAAAAAAAGAAAACAAAGGTTTTTGTTTTTTTTTAAAGGAAAATACAAAGCATGTTTTAAAAAGGCAGAAACATCAATTCAGTTAAAACAGAAATTATGTAAAACAGCATATGAATAAAACAAAGAAAAGGTATTATAGGGTTAAATCTACAGGACCTGTTGAAACAAATCCCCTACTGTTTCAAGACAGAATTAAAGTTAATTTTTTTTACGTGTGTATTATCTTCATGAAATAAGATTAAACACGCACACGTTAATTTGAACGCATTCATGCTTTTGAGCTAAGGAAAAAAGTCTAGAACATACTTGGTACAAAGATATGTAAATGCTGGAGCTGAATTCAAATAATCAATGTTTTATTTATTTATTTATTTGGGTAACTGATTTTTTTTTTCTATCTCTTGATAACCACAGACTTAGGTCTAAAGAGATGGGATGAACCCTGAACCTACATCCGTATTACTGAAACTCATGCCAGGTACTCAGTTATACCGGAGAAGTAGAACTCACATCTTTTCCACAGGATGATGGGAAATAAGAAAGCTCTACTGTCAGAAAAATTCCCCTACTGTTGCCAAGACTAACAAAAAATAAAAATAAATAAAAAAGCTACAGTTGGACTTTTAAATGTAGTTTTATCTTTAATGCCATTATTTAAAGTCCAGGTCAGAACTTCAAAAAATGTTCAATTAGACCACCACTATATCCTAAAGCTATCAATAAAAACTTAAAACCTCTGAAGTTCTGATTAACAGTTTTTGGATAGTGGTGGTCTACACAATTCAAACCTTACCATTTCCCCCTTAGGAAGCTAGGTCTCACCCATCTAAGTAAACCGGACCTATCAGATTATGCAAATGTTAACTGATAATGACATCACTCTCCAATGCTGTTTCAGGAGGACAGGGGAGGTAGTGCCTCTACACCCGACCTCACCATAGGAGCACCCTACGGTCGGCCAAACAGATAAAGGAAAAAGTACAGTATATGGAGAAGGAAGCTATAGCAGCTCCATTTCCTCAGTCCTCAAGCCATCAAAATATGTAAGGACATTAAAATAAAACACTCCATAAAAGTGAGAGTAAAGTGAGAGGTTACCATGAAACCAAGCAAATTCTTAATAACATTTATATTTGTAAAACTTAAGCTAAAAGGAAAATGAATCTAGCCAAAAACACTCATTTTACACATCAAGAAACTGAGGCCCAGGGCAGTTAAGTGATTTGCCCTGGGCGACTACTCCTCTATATAGATGTTAAGTGTCAGTTACTAGTCAGAGCAGCACTTAATCATTTACTCACTTAAATGTTTATGACACTAAGTACCGTCTTGCAAAAACCACCACCGCCACCTCTTCTCAACCATTCAGTGTATTGTTTCAGATCTATATACAGAATGCTGGATAAATTTCAAATGAATATGAATTCTCCCTTCAACCACAACTGTCCCAAATTACTCTTCATCTAACATTAAATAAAATGGAAGGCTTAACGTGCCTGAATTTTCCTGGTTCTGACTAAACGTGGATCATCAAAACCTTAAAATTTGAAGTAGAATATTAAGTGGCGCATACATATTACTGCTTTGCCATTTGCCCTTTCCTTTGTATTACGTTTCAGTCCAGGTTTTCGAAAAGAAAGCAATTATTATAAATGCATAATATCATCAAATTATCATCAGTTTTGAGACATTTTCCTTAAACAATTTAGCGGGTTTTTTTTTTGTTTGTTTGCTTGTTTGTTTTTGAGATCGGAGTATCGCTCTGGCGCGATCTCCCGCCTCCCAGGTTCAAGTTATTCTCCCGGCTCAGCCTCCCGAGTAGCTGGTACTACAGGCGCGCGCCACCACGCCCGGCTAATTTTTATATTTTTAGTAGAGACGGTTTTCACCGTGTTAACCAGGATGGTCTCGATCTCCTGACCTCGTGATCCGCCCGCCTCGGCCTCCCAAAATGCTGGGATTACAGACGTGAGTCACCGCGCCCGTCCAGCACATCTCTTTTATCTTAAAAATAATTTAAACGTATCCTACCCAACACGAGTTAAATTTTTAACAAAAACATCTAAAACAACCCTTTACAAAGCCGAAGCATATTAAACCACAAAACGAAAACGTGGTAAGTAAAAATCCCACCAGCTAAAAAGCACTTGGACTACCACCAGCCTTCCCCGGCTCACTGTTAACCGTCAAACCGACAAAGCATTTGTGGAAGAACCTGGGGGAAAGTTCCGCACCGAATTCTCCAGCTGTGGGTTCATCAGCTTGGCCCACCACCCTCACAGAACACCAGTTTGGGGAAATGCAAACACGCCACATGTGCTTGTTTTCATCATGTTTAACCACTTTTAACCGCCGTAGGTACGAAATCAGCTCCCGCGGCAAAGGTTAAAAAAAAAAAGAAAAAGAAAAAAAAAAAACCAGCATTGTACATGCAAATTACCCCACTTAAACCACGACCACCAGATGAACCGAGGCCAATTAAACCATTTTGAACGTTAACGCCGCTGCACAAAGCGGTTTGAAAGGGTTTTCTGCCTTTCTGAAACGCCGGGCAAAAGTCCCTCGGCAAGTTTCAAAACTAATGACCGTAGAGCGCTGCACAAATAACAAAAGCTTAATACCAACCACCAGGCCGTCAACCCGCTCACGTTACCACTGCCCAGAAGGCTTTTTAAACACAAGCATTGAAAAGGGAACAATAAAAAGCGTCTTACCGCAAACACAGCACGAAAGAGACTGTCGGAAGTAAGGCAAGAGCCTGTTAATCTCAGTAAACGCCTTGGGGTCTCCGGGGTCGTAGTTGAGCACTAGGCGGCTCGCGGAAATGTAGAGAGCAGTAGCATTCACGGGGTTCATTGCAGACACTTCGACACCAGTGGCTCCCGGTTGAAAAAAAATTCCGGATCCAACTTTGTAAGCAGCCAGAGAACGACGGCGAATTTGCACCAATTCGGAAGAAATCAGAGCCGAACCATTGGCCCAACAAGTAACCAAAATCCGTGCAAGTTTGTGGAGCTGAAGCAATCCTCCCACACATGGGGCCTTGGCGCCCCTCCGTCCCTGAGACTTCCAGACCAAAAATATAAAAAAAAGAGAGACCAGCGTTCGAGTTCGTCCGGAGCGACCACAGAGCACAGAACGCGGCGGCTTGGGCGCTCGGGGCGGGACTCCGCGCTCAGTCTAGCCCCGCAGCTCGGCGGGCGGCCTGCGCTCGAGCAGCATCTCCGGACACCGAGGCGCCTCCTCAGATCCAGCTGGCGGGCGCGGGAGCAGGCCCCGGCCCGGTCCGAGGCGCGGCACGCTTCTCCCGGGCTGCAGAGCCTCTTACTCCATCCCAGCGCCGGGCGCGGAGGCGGCGGCCACAGCAAGGACGACGGTCGGGCGGCGGCTTCCCGGATCTAGTGCAAGACGCCGCGGCGGGGACGAAGGTTGCAGTCGCGGCTGGCGGACGCCGCCGCCGCTCTCTCCATATCGGACGCGGGGCCCAGACTGCGCCCTGGCTCTCCGCCCGGTAGGTAGCACCCCGCCGGTCCCCGAGGTGGCACGGCAGGCGAGAGTTCCCCACCCGGAGGGGAGGGCCGGGGAGGAAGTGCGCGGGCCGCCGCCGGCTGGCGGGAGGGGGCGGGGAGCAGGCCCGGCCGGGCCGCGGCGGCGCCCCTCGCTCCTCAGTCGCACACTCCGGGGTCACCAGACGCAAGCGCCGCCCCCTCACTGCCCGGCCATCTTTTCGGCGCCGCACACACAGACGACTCCTCCGCGAGCACGACGGCTGCCGCCGCCCTCGGCGCCTGCACAGCCGCGGGAGGCGAGCGCTCACACCGCCAGGCCCCGCCGCCGCCCAGCGCACACAGCAAGGCCCTGCCGCAGGCCCCTCCCCGTGCCTCGCCGCCCTCACCCCGACTCCACGCGCCACTCCAGGTCGGTAGGGCCCGGGCTGCTGCGGCCTTAATGGCTCCTACGGGCTGTACCGCGCCTTAGGCCCTGCTGGCGACGACGACCGTTACCCCAACGGGCAAAGCCACTGTCATCCCCGAGACTCCCCCGCCGCCGTCGTCGCTAGCGCTCGCACGCATGCGCAGAACACACTCTCACCCCTCCCCCTTTCCTCTCCCTTCGCTTCCCTTTTCCCCTGCTTCTCCTCTACGAGCCCCTTCTGCAGCCTCCCAGCGCTACCGGCTCGCTCCACGCATGCGCAAACCGCTAGCTAGCTCCTCCGCCTTTCGCCCTTACGCGTGCGCTTTGACCGCCCACCCAGAAAACCGGATAAACACATCAGCCCGCTCGCGCCAGTCCCTCACCGCTGCCAACCCACCCTGGGCTCACTGCGCATGCCTGGCTGTCCACTTCGGCTCTCAGGACGGAGCATGCTCTTTGCGAGCCGACAGCTCTCGCCGCCCCTCCCCCACGTGCTCTCAAATTCCCTCTCCCAGGCATGTGGGCTGTGGTGAAACATTCGTTAGCTGGCACATCCTTCCCCAGTGTGGGCTCAGGCTTCCTGCATTACACTGCTTCTGTGCCCGCCAACGCTGGGCCCCGGCTTGGTCGCGCCATGTGGCGCTCCGCACTGGCCTGAACGCGGCCTCTGGTCCTGACTAACCGCGGTGTGAGGAAATGGCCTCGCCCGGCCCCAAGCCCCGCCCTCGCGGCCTTTCTCCTGGAACTGCGCATCCCGACCGCGGAAAGGGCGCAGCCTCGGCCAGCTGACTGGCTGGCTCTCGCCGAACAGGGAAGGCTGCGGCAGTCAACGTGGCTGCGCGCCCAGTAGGCGCGCGGATGGCTTTAGCCGGGTCGCGGCCGCGGTCCGCACCTCCCTGCGGCGCTCAGCAGTCCGAGGTTTCTAAGGCCCTGGCAGGCCGTGTGTCAGCGTGGAGGCTCGAACCCCCCGCGCCCTCATACCCGTCGGAGCCGGGCTATTCCCACGGCCTCTGGTCCTTGGACTCGAGCGGCCTCGCCTTCATGATAGCGGATCAGGACTTCACCGAGCACTCACCGGAACAGAGTCTAGTTTTAAAAACAAAACGGAGGGAGGGGTGGTGAAGAAAAAAATTTAAAAAATCATAGTAAAATAAAGCGAACTCCTTTTTTTCTTCTTCTTTAAAGACGCAGGTTTTTCGAAAGACCTAGCCTTTCTGTGTGAACAGTTGTCTTGAAGAATAAATACATGGTCTTGCTCTAGAACAAACCCAAACCCTTGCAAATGTTTCGTGGGTTTTTTGGGGGTTTGTTGTTGTTGTTGTTTTGGGACGGAGTCACACTGTCCACAGGCTGGAGTGCAACGGCGCGATCTCGATCTCGGCTCACAGCAAACACCGCCTCCCGGGTTCAAGCGATTCTCCTGCCTCAGCCTCCCGAGTAGCTGGGATTAGAGGCGCACACCAGCACACTGGGCTAATTTTTTGTATTTTTCTTAGAGACGGGCTTTCATTATGTTGACCAGACTGGTCTCGAACTCCTGAACTCGTGATCCGCCCCCCTTAGCCTCCCGAGTGCTGGGACTACAGACGTGAGCCACCGCGCCCGTCCCTTGTTTTGTTGTGGTTTTTTTTTTTTTGGTTTTTTTTTGTTGTTGTTGTTTTTGAGACGGAGTTTCGCTCTTGTTACCCAGGCTGGAGTGCAATGGCGCGATCTCGGCTCACCGCAACGTCCGCCTCCTGGGTTCAGGCAATTCTCCCACTTCAGCCTCCTGAGTAGCTGGGATTACAGGCATGTGCCACGATGCCCAGCTGATTTTTTTGTATTCTTAGTAAAGACGGGGTCTCGATCTCTTGACTTCGTGATCCACCCGCCTCAGCCTCCCAAAGTGCTGGGATTACAGGCTTGAGCCACCGCGCCCGGCCAATTTTCTGTATTTTTAGTAGAGACGGGGTTTCACCATGTTGACCAGGTTGGTCTCGATCTCTCGACCTTGTGATCCACCCGCTTCGACCTCCCAAAGTGCTGGGATTACAGGCTTGAGCCACCGCGCCCGGCCCTTTGTTTTGTTTTTTAAAACAAGCTTTTGCCTTATGTTTTTGCAGGAGATCAAGGGCACTGGGATATAAATAAACAAAAGCCTAACTTAATAGATGACTTCCCTCCCCTCTCAAAGTACAAAACCTTTTTTGAGTAGCACAAATAGTGACAGGCTATAGGACGCATTTATCTCTGTACACACCAAAGCTCCTCAGCATAATTTTTCGGGCACAGTAGGTACTCTCCACGTTTGCAAAGTCAAAATTATGATGTGTGTAAATCTTTCGTAGCGCATGTTACATATGTACACGTAGGCACGTGTATGGCACATGTAAATGTGGTACATGTTCGTTTTAGGGGCTTGCCATTTGGGGTGAGCAGAAATAGTTATCAAGAGAACCCGTACAATTTCGATTTGTAATTTATATTATCATTTGAAGGCAGGTGTGTGTTTCTTTTTTTTTACAGGACCTACCAGATTATCGACACTTAAATATTAAGGAATAAAAATCTAACTTCCTAATTTTGTTTAGCTGTGCAAAGTGTATTTGGTAGTTTTATATGTGGAAAATGACAAACATTCTAAAAGCCACTCTCATTTTTAAAAGCTCCATCTGCCAATTTTTTTTTCATAAGAGATCTTTTCTAAGCTCTCCTTCAAATAAAACTGTTATATGGTTCTATTTTTACTCCAGACTCTAAGGTCTTCTCCCACAACACACAGGTTGTTCTCCCTAAGAGGAGCAACACAGAGAGTGAAGTAATCAGCACTGTTTTCCGTTAAGACGGAATAAATTAGCAGTCACCCTAGGCAAGTGATTACTTGCAGGGCATTAACCTTGCTGATTTTCTCATAACTGAATTTTTACAAATCTCTTGAGATGTGCACACCCCAAATGAAGATTAATTCTATTGGTCATTCAGGTGCATGTACATGAGTGAGAAAGCGAAAACGTGTATTAATCCAGTTTTTGGGTTTTTTGGTTTTTTCTTTTGTTTGTTTGCAATAGCAAGATCTCACGTCACTGCAACCTCCGCCTCTGGGTTCAAGCGAGTCTCCTTCCTCAGCCTCCTGAGAAGCTGGGATTACAGGTGCCTGCTACCAGCCCCGGCTAATTTTTTATATTTTCAGTAGAGACAGAGTTTCATCATGTTGGCCAGGCTGGTCTCGAACTCTAGACCTCAAGTGATACACCTGCCTTGGTCTCCCAAAGTGCTGGGATTACAGGCGTGAGTCACTGCACCTGGCTTAAATCAGTTCTTTGTTAGCTTCTGAAATTGGCTGGAACTGGTGATAGATTATGGTACTTAGAGGCAAAGAATCATGGAGATATATTTCTTCTAATATTTATTGCCTTGCTTGAGCCTTGCCTGAAAAGGAAACAAATGAATTGTTTATAGAAAATAAAGTGCTTCAGCAAAAGAAACTATCAACAGGGTAAACAACCTACAAAACAGGATAAAATATCTGCAAATTATGCATCCAAAAAGGTCTAATATTCAGAATCTATAAGGAACTTTAAAAAAATCAACAACCAAAAAACAACCACATTAAAAAATGTGCAATGGACATGGACAGACACTTCCCAAAAGAAAACATAGGCCAGGTGCAGTGGCTCACACATGTAATCCCAGCATTCTGGGAGCCCTAGGCAGGCAGATCACCTAAGGTCAAGTGTCTAAGACCAGCTCCGGTCAACATGGTGAAACCCCATCTCTGCTAAAAATATAAAAAATTGGCCGGGCGCGGTGGCTCAAGCCTGTAATCCCAGCACTTTGGGAGGCCGAGGCGGGTGGATCATGAGGTCAAGAGATCGAGACCAACCTGGTCAACATCGTGAAACCCCGTGTCTACTAAAAATACAAAAAATTAGCTGGGCATGGCGGCGCGTGCCTGTAATCCCAGCTACTCAGGAGGCTGAGGCAGAATTGCCTGAACCCAGGAGGCGGAGGTTGCGGTGAGCCGAGATCGCGCCATTGCACTCCAGCCTGGGAAACAAGAGTGAAACTTCGTCTCAAAAAAAAAAAAAAAATATATATATATATATATATATATATATATATATATATATATATAAAATTATCGGCCGGGCGTGGTGGCTCATGCCTGTAATCCAAACACTTTGTAGGCCAAGGCGGGCGGATCACCTGAGGTCAGGAGTTCAAGATCAGCCTGACCAGCAGGGTGAAACCCCATCTTAAAAAAAATAATAATAAGCTGGGCACGGTGGCTCAAGCCTGTAATCCCAGCACTTTGGGAGGCTGAGGCGGGTGGATCACGAGGTCGAGAGATCGAGACCATTCTGGTCAACATGGTGAAACCCCGTCTCTACTAAAAATACAAAAAACTAGCTGCGCATGGTGGCGCGTACCTGTAATCCCAGCTACTCAGGAGGCTGACGCAGGAGAATGGCCTGAACCCAGGAGGCGGAGGTTGCGGTGAGCCGAGATCGTGCCATTGCACTCCAGCCTGGGTAAGAAGAGCGAAACTCCGTCTCAAAAAATAATAATAATAATAATAATAATTAAAAATAAAAATTATCTATGTGTGGTGGCAAGTGCCTATAATCCCAGCTACTTTGGAGGCTGAGGCAAGAGAATTGCTTAAACCTGGGGGCAGAGGTTGCAATAAGCCAAGATCGAGCCACTGCACTCCAGCATGGGTGACAGAGTGAGTGCAAAAAAAAAAAAAAAAAAAAAATCCAAGCAGCCAATAAACATATTAATAAAATGCTCAACATCACTAATCATCAGAGAAATGCAAATCCAAACCACAGTGATATACCATCTCACCACAGTCAGAATGGCAATTATTAAGTCAAAAAGCAACAGATGTTGGGGACATTCCAGAGAAAAAGGAATGTTTATACACTGCTGATAGGACTGTAAATTAGTTCAGCCACTGTGGAAAGCAGTTTGGAGAATTTTCAAAGAACTTGGAACTACCATTTGACCCAGCAATCTCATTACTTGGTATATACTCAAAGAAATATAAATCATTCTACCAAAAAGACATGCACTCATCTGCTCATTGCAGCATTATTTACGTAGCAAAGAAATGCAATCAACCTAAATGCCCATCAGCAATAGGCTGGATAAAGAAAATGTGGCACATATACACCAGG